CAGCTTGAGGCAAACCACCAATGAAAGGTTCATGTCCTTCAAGACACTTGCATTGCTTTTGCAAGTTCACAGCGATGGAGTCGCAGGTGGTTGCAAACAAGGTGGACTTCCGGTTCAACTTCTGCCTCACTCGAAGGCCAAATCGGCAGAGGTGGGCCTTGACCAGGATCACTTCATCATGCTGCAGAAACTGTTGAACTCGTGGCAATGACCAGGACGTTGATGTGTCCGGATGCTCGTGCAAGCCATATCCGCCTCTTTGGAGCTGGTCCTCTTGAAGGTCCATGGAGTAGTCCATGTGGTCGATGGCGGGTCCAAGTTCTTGCTGAAGTAGTTCAGGGTACCACCTCAGATTCTGTAATGGAGAGAACTTGGTGCACGGCGGTGAAGTGATCAAGAGTCGAGGCTTTCTCTGCTGTAGATCTTGTCGGACTTGTGCTTTCTGTTGTCGATCTGACAAGTCCACGCCAGTGGTGAGATCCACTGACAATTCCGCTCGAAGACCTCGAGCTGCTGCACGTCGAACCACACGTGGTGGGCTGTAGACCTCCACAATGGTGTCTCGAGTTTCCCAAATGCTGCCAAAGACCTCGGCAACATCATCTTGTGCGTCTTCCTCTTCCCAAAGTGCCCAATAAGTGGTCAGGTCACCGAGCAGCATGTCCAAGCTGCCATTGATGCTCATCTTGTCGGATCTGGAAAGGGTGACCTCGTTCTCATACTCTGATTCCACCAGGTAATCGATGAACTCAGGATCGAACTCATAGAAGACCACATAGTCCATGGGGGCACCAAGCACATAGTCATGACCGGGTGTCGTGGTCATGTCAACAGCGCACCAAAGCCCATCATCGCCATCATGGGTCAAGATGACCCTCCGGCTAACAAAGGTGTTGGTGACGACTGGAGACTTCCCTCTGACAACATCACCATATCCAATGGCTACGAAGGTCGTGCTTGGGTTGAGGTTCAAAGTGTCCAGGAGGCCGCCGTAGGTCTCGTCAATCTCGATCTTGTCCGGTGGTGATTGGAGCCACCAGCAACTCACTTGTTGATGTTCTCGATCTCGAACTGGCCCATCCGGAGGTAGTAGTCGGGGAGCTGGTAGAGGTAGATGGCCAGACTGCAATTGGTGTTCAGGCAGATCAGCTCCGTGTGCTGAGCATCGCCATCCATCGCTGGTGCAGTCATCATCTCGCCTGAGTTGCACTGTGGGCAAAGGAATGTCCCCACTGCCGGTTTGGTGTGTCCTCGAAGATGATTCCAAGCCCGTCGGCAGGTGGGGTTCATGCATCTCCACAGTAGTTGCCCAGTCGTCTGGTGTCGATGAAGTAGGAGGCTCCCATTGTTGCAGATTCCGCAATGCTGAGCCAGGACATCGTTCTCCATCGAAGACATCGCAATGTCCTGAGGTCCAATGGGGTTGATCTCCTCCCACTCGTCGTCCATCGGCAGATCCTCCTCCAGTTCCTCCGGATCGGAAGAGAACTCCGGAATGGGGCTTTTCTTCTGTGGCATTGTCTTGGCAGCCGTTGCCTTTGCGCTCGACTTGGCTGCGGGCTTCCGGTAGCCCTGAGTTGAAGATCGAGTGGACTCTGCCTTGACGGACTCGGCCTTCTCCTCCTTGACCTTCTTCTTCTGGTAGAAGTCGTGGCTGGCATACACGAGGGTGTTGTTCCAGGTCTCCATCTGGTTGACCGGTGTCAAGGGCATCTGCTGCTCTTGGCCGCAGTTGAGACACTTCTGGTAGCTCATGTTCTTGTTGGCGCCATGCTGAGTCTTCAAATGCCGGCAGTGAGTGCTGTCTTCCAAGCATGGCACCAAATATTTGCCTTTCCCCATGATGCACGATAGGGGTCGGACACGATCCTCCCGCCTGGACAAGGTCAGGGTGGTTCCAGGCTGGACAGTGCTGGCAGATGCAGCTTCTGCCAACATCTTCTGTTCGGCCTGAGCCAAGGCCAAAGCCTTCTTCTCCAAGTCCTCGCGCTGTCGTTGAAGGCGACGGACTCCACGTAGTTGGGGCGTTCGAACCACCTCCATCAGGCATTGGCGCGCCAGCAAGTCCACATACTCCAGCAAGCGCAGCAGCAAGCGCCGCCAGTGAGCCAGCCATGCCGCCATGCGAGGTGGTCGAGGTTGAGGGTCGTGCCTGGTCTGGTAAGGGCTCCAGAGACCAGGCTTGACTCTTCGTGCCAGCGAAGTCGGATGGAACTTGAAAGCCGTGACCAAACTCAGTAATGCAAACAGCAACATGACCAGTTGACATGCGGTACATACGTTGCTGAACTGCCAATGACATGTAGATGATGGTCAGGTGGTGCATATCAATCACAGCTTTGAGATCTGTCAGGAAGTATGCTGGCAGGAGGAATGGTATTTCACCTGGGACCACTTGTACACGTAGTACTCCACTCTTTCCGGACAAGCCGATGGGGATGTAGGCTATCCGTGTTGATTCCTCCTGTCCGCATACTCCTCGAACTGAACCACCATGCTCATTGGACCATTGTACCTGGAGACCAAAATGTTCCCGCAAATGACGATCGTGTCTTTGGAGGGTGTCATGACCAACCAACCCGTGCTGAGCCGCGGTGTCGACGAGTGCCATGCCCCGATCCGGTGCCGAACCAAGAAAAACGAACGACAGGCCGCTGAACATGTATTCGCACGAGATCGGGTCCAGGTTGGTCGTCAGAAACTTATGTCCACAGTTGGCCATCACCGCTGGTGGTGACGTGAAAAACCCAGTGGACATGGTTGAGCCTCCACTCACATGTGAACTGCGGGATGAAGGGGCCGTCGATGCTTGCTTGTTCCTTTGCGGACACTCTCGAGACCAGTGTCCGATCTGCTTGCATTGATGGCAGCGAGATTTGGCCTTGATGTCATTGAGGGACATCTTCGAAGTGCCTTGACGCATCTGCCAAGGTCGATCAAAGCCTCTGCCCGTCCGGGCAGCCTGTAGCATTCGACGGTGCTCCAAATAACCACCGCCTCGTCCAAAACCAGGAGCTCCAAGGCCATAGGTTCTTGAACTGCCACCTTTGCCTTTTCCTTTCCCCTTCTTTCCTTTTCCTTTGCCCTTGCTATGCAGGCGCTGGTGGGTCTCGTAGAAGATCTCTTCCAGGTTGTCACTGACCATTTCAATGGCTTCAGCCTCATCCATGATCACTGGCATCTCATGGAGGAAGATGAACTGAGCCTCACTGCCATCATCATTGAGCGCGATGAGGTCCTCGAAAGGGTCGTCATCCTCAATCTCGCCATAGGTGGCAGTTGGCTCATCATCAAACATCTCTTCATTCATTTCTTCATCCCAGTAGGTAGCACTGCGCCACCTCCGGGGGGTACCAACAGCTTCATGATGTCCATGGCTTTCGTCCAGCTTGTCACCAAAGACCTTCTGGATGGCCATTTCAATGTCCTTGTAATCGATGCTGCCGTTGGTGACTACTTTCAACCTCTGGCGTTGGTCCTGGGTGAATGAGCCTTGCCTCAAAATGAGGTGACCCAACAAATGCCGCCCCGGACTGGTAGCCAACAGGTCCAGTCCTTGTTTCTTCAAGTCAGCGAAGGCCGCCTTCTTGGTGGTCAAGAAGCTTGTGAGCGTTTGGCCTCGCTCACGTCTTCCTTTGAAGATCGCGTCATCGAAGGCTGTCTCGAGGCGCAAGTCCTTCAAATACTCATGGGCGTCCTCGATGATGCCAAGTATGACCTTATGGCCATTGTCCGAGCAGATGTCGTCGACAGTCAAATGGGCCAGAAGGGAGCTGAGCTTCGAGCCAAGCGGAATGCTGTCGATGATCCGCTTTCCAATCAAGTTGTGAGGCAGTCGAGCCTCTGCCTCAACCAGCCAGAGTTGAAGGTTCCGGATGTACTCTTTATAGTTCTTCTCTGGCATGTCACCGCCCCAGGCTGGAGCGGGGTCCACTTTGTAGTCCACATACTTTTTCTCGCGAGCACCTGATTGGCTTCCGGCCGGTGTCGGAGGCCGGATGGCCGTTGCAGCTGCAGCCCAAGGATCAGGTTCTTCATAAAGTCCCGAATCGACGGGGCCAGGTACCTGAGAAAGTCGATGGACTTCAGGTCGTGGCGGACTCGCCATAGGGGACCTCGGTGGTCGCGGCGGACTTGCCATCGGGGATTTCGGCGGGGCCGCCATCGATGGGGTCGATGATGAAGTTGCTCCAACTCCGCCTCTCCAGAAGCGGTGCAGCCTGTCAGCTGACATACTTCCCAGTGAACTGGTACTTCACAAAGGTCAGGCTGATGGCAAAGATATCGCCTGGGCCCTCAATCAAATAGTTCGAACGAAGTCCCGGCGCCGGCTAGCAAAGTCGTAGGGCTAGCGTAGTGAAGGTGGTCGTAGACCAAAAACAAAACAAAAGCTCAAATCAAGCTCAAAGGAAAACCAGGCCAGGATGGCCGTCAAGCTCCGCCACGTCAGTGGCTTCTAACAATCCCCTGCTGGAGGGTGCCGAAGAACTCCTCAAGAATGAGGTCGATGAAGTCGAAAGAGGTCGGTCGGGGCGTCCCCCGCCGCAAGCTCTTCCACCTCTCCAGCAGAGCCCAGGTCGTCACCCGGGCTCCGCTACCACTGATGAACAGCGGAAACGCAGTGCCTATGGCGCACGGCAAGGAAAGCCTTTTCCAAGGCAGACTCAAGTGGCCACTAAGTTTGGGCCGGTACGGTCATGGAAAGTCAACAGGTGTGGATGGCCAGGGCACAAGGCAGTTTGTTTCACACCATGATCACCGTGCACATGTAAACTGAATTAAACTGAGATGTTTCACGTATGGAGAGCTCTCAGCATAGGTAGGAGGGTAGTCCTTATCCTCTTCTATAGAAACAATGGGGGCTATCATGCTAGGAAGCGCAGGCACTCCTTATCCCCCGTTGTTTCCTCTTTGTCTTCCCACCTTCCGCCGCCTGTTTTCCCTTCTTGGGCACGGCTTTTCGAGCCAAAACGACCCCCTGCATGACTTGGTCGGTGCACCTTCAGCATCGTGCAAACCACCTGGCGAATGGTCGTCGTCACCGGCTCCGCGTCGCCACGTGCCGCCGGGGCGGCCCTTCGGTCGGAAAGGGGCGAAAAGGCCCCCGGCTAGCGGTTGTGAACGGCGTTCCTCCGAGACGAGGCTTCAGTTCGTGGTCTTGAAGCCACCCGAAAAGGAAGATCCTGAAAACCCGAAAAGTGGTGCAAAGGATCCTCGAACTGGACGGAATAGGAAGCACTTAATCTGTCTGCCACATTCACCAGGCCCAAGGAGTGCTACTGTGAAGAAAAGCACGAAAATCACAGAGATCCTTTAAGAACAAAAAACATTCCAATCACTTCCAGGTCACCCGCCCGACACGTCCCGTGCAGCGTCCGTCCGTCTGTACAGCAGCCTGCCGAAACTCTTCCCACTCGATGTAGCCACTGCCATCCCTCGGCTTCACGGACAAAGACTCGGAATGACGTTTTCGGATGCCTGCCGAATCGAGGACCGCCATTTTCATGTGGACGGCTCGACCAAAAAAATACTTGAAAACATGCCGGAACACCGTCTCCAGGAGGTTTCCAAACAATGTTCTATGTCTCCATTAAGGGGTGTGATTCATCAACAACCCGAGATTTAAAGGCTTACGCCTGACAGCCGGGCGCCGGCCGGGGCAGGGAGGAGAGAGAAGGAAGGGATGGGGAGGAAACGGGTGGGAGACGGCGGCAGCATCCGCCGCGAGGAGGAGGCGGACTGTAGAGGTTGACTCTCTCTCCGACATGTCCAGCCCAGACGCTTCTCTCCGCAACCCCGAAAACACCGTAAAACACATGGCAATCCAGACGCGTCTCCTCGCAACCCCGCAGACAGTGTAAAACACATGGTTTTCGCCCAGGTTCAATCCAGACGCTTCTCTCCGCAACCCCGAAAACTCTGTAAAACACATGGTTTTCGGACATGTCCAGTCCGTGCTCTTTCTCCTCCGGTAGAAGAAAAAGAGCCAGAGAGCCAGCAAAAATAACAAAATGCTAAAAATGCACTGGTACTCGGGCAGCATATCTCGCACCACGTGCCTTCGAAAATGACCTCACATCAACCATATCCATGTTGCCACATGTTGGCCCATGTTATGTCATCCTGTCCGTATGTTGGCCTACGTTGCTGGGCGGAGCTTGGTCGGCGGGGGGGCGTAGCCCAACCTTCGGTGACCACGGGCTGCGTGGCCGGCGCCCGGATTTTGGGGCTCATGGGCCCGACGGTCGCTTCGGTCCAAAATCAAAACCCTTGTTGCTTTGGTGTCCCGTCTTCCGGGTCCAAACTCTGAAACCCCTTTTGGGAGTCACCTTGAGACACGTCCGAAAGTTCGATCTCTTGTGGCTGGACCTGTGAAGGGCGGGCGGAGTCCTCGTCACCAGCGAAATCTGCTGCAGTCTGGCCCGAAAGATCTGCCTGGTCCACGCCACGTCTCGTCTTTGTTCACCACCCAGACGCTCCTGGACCCGACCCTATGCAGGGCTCGGACCCGAATCCTCTGGAGGGGTCGGACCCGAACCAATCCCGGTTTTGAGGGACCCAGTCGGGCTGTGAACGGAGCGTCTGGGCAGGTTCTTTGTGAGTTCAGCCACTTCAAGGAAGTGGACTGGTAGGCCGTTGTTCGACCAGAATTGGCGAAGAGCCAAGCAGCCTCCAACCTTGAGCGTTCGCGCCAGCTTGCCATGTCTGCCGCTCTTTATTGCCACCACTACGAGGTAAAATGAGTTATGACTCTCGGGGTTGCCTTGGAACATGTACCCTTGTGAGGTTCACTCTGCACTTTGCTCGTTTCACCTCACGGCTACACCATCTCACTCCCAGTTCGCGGCTTCGGGGCTCCCCAGCGTATCAAAGGCATTGAAGGCCTTCAGGAGTGACTCGACCTCGCCACACTCGGCTCCCAGGTCGGAGGACCATCCGTGTCGGTCGCCCCACGCCCGGGCCTGTGAGGTCGTCATGACCCCGGCACAGATGGTTTACATTCATGATTTCATCATGGTAAACCCCGAGGATTAGGGCACATAGGGCACCTGGAACGGTGCATCAGAGGATTAGGGTTCACCTCCCGGCGACTCGTCCGTAGGACTCACCATCTCTTCCGTCCCAGCCAGCTCGCGGAGCCTGGACCAGATCGATCCTGGGCGGCTTCGGCGAACGGCTTCGGCTTTGGGGCGGTGTCAGAGGGGCCCCAAAACGCGAGCAAATCGACGCCTCTGAGGGGGGCCTCATCATGGCAATTCATGAAGAATGGGGAACTTCGGAAGACTGTGAAAGTTGCTTAGTTTGGCCAAACGGCATGCAGCTGCTACAGATCACACAACGAACTATTCTGGTCTTCCTTCATCGTTCAAGGCACTTGTGGTCACGCGCAAGCTGACGTAGGTGGCGCTCGCGAGGGTTCGACACGGTTTCCTGACGAGGTGTTCGTGGACCAGCAGGCACGACCAGACAGGCACCCCTTCCACCCCTTCCAAGAGACACCCCGACTCGGGCCGACTCGGGTAACTCCCGAGATCAAACAGTTCTTGAAAACGAGAGTCTGGTGACAGTCTGGGATTTGCAAGCAGTCTATTGAACTATGTAAGGGTGGGTACTTCCAAAGTAAATATGACGTAGAAACTGGACATATTGTGTGTGAAGGATTTCATCATATTAATTGGTTGTTGAGGAGTGTCTTAATGATATCTTGGTCCGCTGTCATAATTTTATCTTAGTTCTCAAAAAGACAATATTATATAAGTGGACCACTAAATACTATATCTGTCTTTCTCATGCCGTTTCTTTTATATTTCTAGGTTATTAATGAATATGAAAATAAAAACAAATAAATGGATTCCTGAGGTACAAATATTATAGCTACATCAATTGGAAGGTGTATTACAGGTAAGAGATATAATATGAAATAATATGTGCATCCCAAAGGATCAGAGTGGGTTCTGGTACCTCAGAACCAGCTGGTCCCTCGGTGAGTGGATTGAATGAACCACTGATTTTATGGCATATCTAATCTTGATGTTGGGACCCTCAGATCCATTCCCATTTGAGGGCCCATGATTTTGAGGTATAGTTGGTGACAATGCCCCACACACCAGACCATGCCTCAGCTCGCAGCCACCTGTTCTTTTTTACGCGCCGGCGGTGACCTTTGCCACCACATGCCGGGGTGCTCAGGTGTCATGATCGAGACAACTCTATGTGTAGAAGAGCAATGTATCGTTCCAGCGTCCGCAAAGAGACATTCTGTCGATGTGTAGCTCTTGCTATGCGGCCAACTCTCCCCACCCAATCTTCCGCACAAAGCAGTTGTGACATCCTGGGGTTTACCCTCTCCCTGCGAGTGACTTTTGCATGCTCATAAAAGTAATGATGTTTGGGGGTAAGAAGCCAAAGTGTTCTGTTGTTCTCCTTCTTCTGGGCATCCCTGCTAAAGGTATGCAACGCAGCATATGTTTGCAGGTGAGTCAAACAATTGTTGCAATAGCTGTTTGCTTCTGTCTCCGACATGACCATGTCAGCAGTGTCCATGATTCGCAACGCGGTGGTGTAGCTGTGCAAGCAAGTGGCCACCAGTCTGTCAACCGTTGATGCGTCAGCCCTCCCAGCGTAGGCCACCGCACATTCTGCGATCCAAAAACTCACTGTTTTTGATGGAATAGCTTTTGAGCTTAGCGACGGATATGAAGATCGAAGTTTTCTGTTCAACCTTGCCGGAGTAAATCTCGGCTGTGAAACACGTATGCGATGCTCTCTCATCCATGTCAAAAACTGTTTGTGAGCTTCCCGAAGTCTTTCTGCCAGCACATGTTCGTAGATTCCCTTGTCCAAAGGGCCCCAAAAGCCCGCCTCAGCAAGATAGACAATAGCGGACCCATTGACCGCTTTCCCTGTTCCAAGGAGCTGTCCGTGCATAGTGTCATGAAGCACTCGTGAGATTGGAATATCCAAGTCGAAAACGATGGATCCTAACTTGACAAAACGCAAAGGCCCAACATACATTGTTTTCATTTGGCCGGGTCACAAAAAACAAAACCTGCACAAGTATAAGCTAATAAGCTGTGGTTCGGTTTGCATGGAACTCACTTAAGCTCGGTGGCACAGAACAATAGGGAGCATCCTCTTCAAAGTTGGCAAGTGTCATGGCCACATTGGGGTGTGTCTTTTGAACTCCGCAGTTGCTGCAAATATTGTTGGTCTGGTAGTTGAACAAATGGTATTGGGACTTCACCCATTTCAGGTCCCCCTGCAAGCTGGAAAAACAAAAGGCATAACCGCTGTCAGACCAATCAAAGAGCAGAGCACCAGGGTCAACCATAGCTTTGACACGCGGAATGACCGAGGACATAATGTCATCATACGTCCAAGGTGTCGATGAATATTCAGTGTAGATGGCTATGGGCCAATAGCGGGTCCATGAATCATTTCCGTACGCAAGATCAGAGGACCACCCAAGGATTGTGATGGCCCCGCATTCTGATCCCTTCCAAGCAGCAATATCATCTCCATAAAACGACATAGGCACCAGTCTTGAAAGAGCAGGGTACGTGCAACAGCTGTTGGTCTTGAACCACTCACAGTTCTGCTGGCAATGTTTCCAGAACTTAGCAACTTGTTCTTCGGTGTGCTGACCAAACATAGCTTTTCTCCAGATACGGTCGCCCTTGTTGAAAAGAGCTGCAGCCATAGAATCAGGCTGGATCACATGGATGTGCTGCCAGGTGACTCTTGCTTCTTTGTGGTCATACATTCGGGCCTTGACAGTTTCAATAGGAACCCCGAATCTACGGGACATAGTACTGAGCATCGTATGAAAGTCCCGCTCTGTATTGTTGGGATACACACCTGCAGTGCCTAACTGTGATAGGCGGTGCACAACATCTTTCTCCTCCACGACCCCACCCTTCGATCTACACCACTCCACTGCTGAAGTAGCATCACGTTGAACCTTGCAGGACCAAGGGGCAATACACCCGAACATGTTGTCTTGAAGTTACCATGCAATACAAAACCAAAACAACAAAATAGTTGCGTTACTCCATTCATGGAACCTTGACGGCACTTGCTTTGCCTGACGCAAAGCTTCCAATCAGTAGATTCCCAAAGTCTTGAGCTTTTCTAGGTTTGGCATGCGCTGCGAAATTAGCTTTTGCATCCAAGATGGGTCCGGTTTCATGTGGAAGCGTTGTCCGAGGTCGCTTCGTTGATGGTTCCTGCGGGCCAATGCTTGGGAGATCTTGGGAGGCAGAGGCAGGTTGTGAACCGGGTTCATGGTTGACCATGTGAGGTTTGAAGACATTTTTGAATCAACCACAGGCCTCATCATTGGCCAGATCATTCAAAGCTTGCTGCCGTAGACGGGCAACTCCTGGAGCAGTTGGGGTTTAGTATGTCACTCTAACATGGTTTCTTTAGGGTATATGGAGGCCGACCAGGTACATAACTATCACCAAATTGGTGATACGTGATAAGTATCCCCAAATCATCACCGAAAACTATCCCCAAAATAGGTGATAACTGTCAACAAATCAGATACAAATACCTATATCACCAAAATGGGAGATAACTATCCCCAACTTGAGGTCAAACACGGGTCACAGAGTCATACACGGTGCCCCTATCTTGGCACATGGCACATTTTCCAGTTTGTCTTCTTTGGTAGTCCCTCAGTGGTTCATGCATGCGGCACATGTAGCTTGCAGTATCCTGCAGCGCTGTCAACTAGCTCACAAATGGATGCCTATGTAGCTCTCAAAAAAGCACAGGCAAACCCGAATTAGCATCAACTGCGCTTAAAAGCACAGACAAAACTCAATTTAGCATCAACTATGCTAGGGTAGCACAGGAAAAAAGCAAGTGTAGCATCAGTGCTCTGGATCAGGTAGATTTGCTCTTGGCGGCTGCCTTCGCCTGCGAATGCATGTGCTGCACGGGTGCCCAAACAGGGAGGGATGGACTGAAGACCGCGCACTCAACACACATAAAGGATATTGGGTTGCACTGCTTGGACCGGGTCAACCCACCTTGCCAGCATTCCTTGGCTTAGTCAACGTAGTGGCTTCTTTGGCATCTTCTTGGTAGAGCTGCAGACGCTGCATCGCAAGCGTCACAGCAGCATTCAACTGCACAAGAAAGTCACCCCCCTTCTCCACCTGGCGCATACAATAAGAAGTGGGCAGTGATCACATCATGGTTGATGTTGTTTTGCATATGCATGATCTGTTGGAACATGCCTTCATGCACAGGTCACCCAGCTGCAGGAATGATGATTCAAGTTCATGCGCGTGCGCGACAAAGCTCTTGCCTTGGCACACAGAAAGCAAATCGTTAACTTAGCTGAAACACATCCATAGTTAGAACAACATGCCATGTTACTCAAGGCATCCTGGTGTTTCAGATGGGCCAGCTTCACTGGCCACATCTTGGCCTGTTGAAGGTCGGTCATCAATTTCTCCATAGCCCATTGTCCCCGTGCCACAGGGTCCTCCGGCATTTCATTCCTTGGCGTGTGATAGGTCATGAGATTTGGGAGCTCTATGTATAAACAAAAACAACATACATTCACCAAGGGTCTTCTTTCGTCGGGGCTTGTCTTGAGGGGGCTTGTCGGGTTTCGCTGGCGGTGTTCGACGATTCTGCCCCCCAGCAGGTGGTGGTGGGGGTACAGACAGGCTCTCATCTGGTGAGGGTACAGGCGGCGTCACCTTCCCACCTGCCAACGCTAACCCAGGCAGAGCTGGCACATGGCCAGTAGCACCTGGCACATGGCCAGTAGCACCTGGCACATGGCCAGTAGCACCCCCCACATGGCCAGTAGCACCAGAACTAAATGATGGTGGCTCTGCCTTGAGCGCCACCCCCCGAGCAGCACCCATAGTGACATTGGCCATGCTGCTATACCGTGCAGCGTCAGCCATTTGCCCAGCCTATGCACACAAGAAGTCTTGATCACATATTACATGATCATTTGCTGTTTTACATATACACACACAATGAGTTGTGACCAATTGCTGGTTGAACCTTGAAAGGGTCATGCCTGGTCACCCACAACATCCGTTCCATAGGACTCTTCCAAGCGATCCTCAAACTCATCCTGCTCAACCTGGTCCAAATCTAGCATAACGTGATATAAGGTCGCTGATGGATCATCAGGAAGGTCAGGATGCTCTTTGGTTTCACCGCTGGCGGTTTTGCGCTCCACTATCCGATTTACCAACTCTTCATCACCACCATGCAGCACCAAAAGCTGCGCACGTGTCTTCCATCCTAGGCAGAGGTTAGGCGCCACGTTTTCTTTGTTTGGTGTCATGGTGTGAGGCAGTCACGCATGAGGTCCACGCCTTTTCTCCGTGAACCGATCACTCGATCAGTGCGCGCTTTGGTATGCCGGATTGAGAGCCTCAACGAATTAAAGTCTATGAATGTTCGATACTTGTGCATGCCATGGTGTGTATCTATGTGCATCTTAAATACACATGTTATCCATCCAAGAAACCGTGACCAATCCTTTCCAGCCTTTAAGAATGCCATGAAAACAGCTTGCTTGGACGCACGCGATTTCGACACAACAGCTTGCTTCCAGGCATTGAGGATTTCCGCTGGGATGTCATGGTTTTCTGGATTGTCCAACTGCCTGCACCACACACACATACTTCAATGTGTGCAGTGTCTAGGACAAACAATCATACGCAAGCAAAAAAAACACCGTACAATGAGCCTGCGCATTTGTGCGTAATGTGCTTGGCGTTCTTTGTAAGTGTCAAAGGTGACCTCCATGCCAGCCTCACAACATCGTATCATGACCACAGTGCTAGCCCAAAGAAAACATCACCATGCATTAATTATAGAATAGGCAAGTAGCCGGAACCGAGACGTGGATGTTGCTCCTCCAGCTGGCTGCGGGTGCAGGCTTGGATTCTGCTCCAGATGTGTGTTCTGCGGATGCTGGCACGGTCACTGGTGGCTGTGTGTTTGCAGGCACTGGTGTGCTTGCTGGCAAGCTGCCCTCTGAGGTTGGCTCCACGGGTGTAAATGCAACCTTTTGTCGCTTGTTGAGGAACTTGGGTACAGTAACTGGAATGGCTGCTGCTGCTGGCGCTGGTGGTTCAGCTGGCGGTGCGGTCACTGCTAGGGGTGGTAATTCAGCCGGGGGCGCAATCACAGCTAGGGCCAGGGTTGGCGGTTCAACTGGTGCAGTCACTGCCGGTGTTGGGTGTTCAGCCAGGGGTGCAGCCATTGGTGGGGCTGGCGGTGCTGGAGTGACAGCTGCTGCCGGTTTAGCCGGTGGTGCTTTCACTGCTGGTGTTGGCTGTTCAGCCAAGGGTGCGGTCACTGCTGGGGTTGGCAGTTCAGCTGTGGGCGCAGTCGCTGCTGGTGTTGGCTGTTCAGGTGTAGCCGGCGCTGCAGGTGCTGGCAGTGGATGTGTCTCTGTTGGTACCAGTGGCATATGGACCAATGTCGTAGCCAAAGCTGGTGTAGCGACCATTGAGTTGCCAATTGCTGGAACATCGACATGAGCTGCAGTAATGATCGTCGCTGGGCTTGGACCTCCGACCATGCTGCCATCAGACATGGCAGCCACACCTCCTGGAGGGTTAAGGTTCTCATCGAGCCACATACGAAAGCACAACAAATCTTCCTCTGGCTCGTCCTCCGCAAACTCAGGAACACCATCCATGGTGTCTTGACCAAAGATCTCTCGCATCACGTGTTGCCTGTATGCTGGGAACATGGCATGTTGTTGTGCTTCTGCAATGGCTCTCTGCATGCCGCGATCGTCAAGTTTGAACACCCTGTCACGATGCCAGTTTTCCCTCCCAATTGGATCATCCAATCCTGGACACGCATCAGTAACTCGCTCAGCATCAGCCTCGATTCCTGTTGGTGCTGGTGTTGGTGCCGGGCTGGATTGTTCCACAGAAGCTGCATGCACAGGTGGGTCCGGCACTGGCTGCTCTGAGCTGCAAGCTTCGGGTGTCTCACCCACTGTGTTGGACAGAGTGGGGCTTGGATGCAATGGCACGGGCACTGCGGCCGCTTCTGCTGGAAGTGCTGAAGCCAGGGGAATGCTTGATGTGGATGGCTCCACCTTGCTAGATGGTTTTGCTGTGTTTGCTCTCAAAAGGCTGGCTGCGTGTGAAAGGCTCTTGCTGGGTTTTACAGCAGTAAGTTCTGTTTTGCTGCTGTATTGTGTGTCCATGCCATACAGTGGAGCCTTGGGCTTGGCAGGCGGGCTTGGCGTGAACTCTCGGGTTGCCATTACCGGCTTTGGCGGTGGTGTGTTCACACCAGCTGGCTTTGATGTGTTTGCTGATGACTTTGGTGGCACAGCGCTCACCATGGCGGCTGTCTTTGGTGGTGAAGTGTTCCCCAGGGCTTTCGGCGGTGGCGAGTTCACCTGTGTTGGTGAGATGTTCACCATGGCTTTTGGCGGTGACATGTTCACCGTGGCTGGCTCTGGCGGTGCGGTGTTCACCAATGCGTTTGGTGGCAGCGAGTTCACCATGGCTGGTTGCGGTGGTGAGATGTTCACCATGGCTTTTGGTGGTGACGGGTTCACCATGGCTGGCTGTGAGGTGTTCGCTGATGCTTTTGGTGGTGACGGGTTCACCATGGCTGGCTGTGAGGTGTTCGCCAATGCTTTTGGTGGTGACATGTTCACCATGGCTGGCGTTGGCGGTGCGGCGGTCAATGCTTTTGGCGGCGGCGAGTTCACCATGGACCCCTGTGGTGGTGTGATCACCAATGCTTTTGGTGGTGGTGATTTCACCATGGCTGGCGATGGCAATGAAGCCAAGGCTTTCGGTGGTGATGCCTCAGAAGTAGGCCATCGTGCATCAGTAGGTTCACCTTTGATGTGTGTCAAAGGTTGTTTGGGAGGAGGTGAAAATGCCTTTTTCGGCACTACTTGCTGTGGAGTTGGCGGTGGTCTGCCATCGGGTCCCACCAGAGGGCTTTTGACTGCACATGCGACCATGGTTTTTGCTTTCTTGAGTGGTGCAGCTGGTCTAGGGACGGGTGCTGGGGAATCTGCCGGGGACGTCGAGTCAGATAAGGTCGCCATAGACACCGACCTAAATCAATCCATAAGAGTGTTTGCGTGTCTACATCGTCGTACACATGTGCACATATAATATAGCAACATGTGTAACACACCAAGTGACTCCCTGAGAGTCATGGTGGCATCCATGTGAGGGGATACATCAAGACATTGTGGCCACATCACTGGCGACACCTGCCCGCAACTGAGGGGTGCTATGGCAGAAACCACGGTCGCAGATGCAGGCCTGGCTGTCAGCATCAATGGTCGTCGCTTGGGAATCGGTGGCCTGGGCACGATATCGGATGGACATATGGACACCCTGCAGCACCCAAAAAACAACCATGTCATACAGTCCTCCATCATCATCATCATATTATTATCAGCATGCCCCCCCTGCAGGGCCACCAAACATTTCAACTCAAACCACAAAAAAACAGTGAGCAGTGAACAATAGCTAGGGAAGTGTGCTATGTCACCAGCCTCAGCACTAGCCCCCTGGAATGCCTCAAATAAAGCTCGTTTGTGGTCCAAACCACAGGGGCTGAACATAGGTTCCTCCTCCCAAACATGTTCATCTCCCAAAGCAGGAGCCAGGGTTTCCATACATGCACAACAAATGGTCCTGAACTTTGATGAGCCTTCTCTCAGGCATGGCGAGAACACTAATGTGGCACACTTGATTCACAAGCCTCCTTCGAGCTTGAGACACTGCTACATGAACCGCACACATAGTGACAAAACCTTCTCAAGTGGCAGAAATCTATCTTACGGTATCTTACGGTATCTTATGTAGGGGTACGTGCAAAACC